AGAAGGCCAACAATTCACTAAAAATGTTTTTTTATTGGTCTTATGAAATATTCTAATTTGTTGAGGTAGTGAATTGGTGGGTTTTTGTGAAATGTGAGCCAAAATCATCACAATTAAAAGAACCAAAGACTTAAACTACTTCAGTCTGTGTGCATTGAATTTATTTAATACACGAGTTTCACAATTTGAGTTGAATTACTGAAATAAATGAACTTTTCCACGACATTCTAATTTATTGAGATGCACCTGTATGTCCCAAAGCTTGCCTACTCTTTTACTACACACTCAAAAGTGTGTACTTTTTCTTCACCATAAGAGTACATACTTTAAGGGCGTAGTAGAAGACCCTGTCCACACGAATGCGGTTATTTTTAAAACCGTAGCTTTTTCTACGCGGTTAGGCTGTTCGTCCACACGCAAAGCAGCACCAGTTCACTGAAACCTCCTGCCAGGGTGAAGATTTAAAAAAAAAAAAATTTATTGCAAGTATAAACACTTAACTTCAACAATTAATGTAACATTGGATGACATTATGAATACAGAAATTATGAATGCCAGTGTGAAGATTTTCAAAAAGCTTTTTGGCTTGTGACGTCGTTTTAAGTTTTGTTTCATTCGGTTGTTTCATTCAGTGAGCACTGCGATCTGCCAATGGAACAACTGCATTCTGTACACAGTACTGAGAAAATAGATGCAAAGTGACTAGATTAACTTCCAGCATTATAAATGTAATGCTTCTTGCTGATGTAAACATGCAACGCAGTGACATAATGAGACAACAAACTTCACAAGTTATTTAGACATCAGAATGCAGTCTCTCACAGAACTGTGATCTAGAGGAAACTTCAGCAGTACAGTCACCAGTACATTAGGCCTGCATGGGGTCAGAATCAACAAAACACATGCTCACACTAGGGTTAAGCAAAAGATTTAATCAAAGGACAAACATACAAAAAGCATCACACAGACTTGCATAAATACATATATTAATAACATATATATATATAAACCAATATATCTGAACATACAGGCAAGCATTAGAAAAGCAACAGTGCTTGTACTATGTAAAGCATGGTGAAAAATAATATAGGTTCTGTGTATCTGATATTCCAGAAGGCTTTGGTGCATCTTTTCAATTTGACATATAGCAATAATTATGGTGATGACTGATCACTTCAAATGATGTTGTAAAAACATGTATTCTGTGATTATTTTTTCTTCCATTTACATTTATATACACAAAATGAAAACAATTAAGCCACATCAAATCACCACAGTTATCCATTAGTCTCTTACATGACAGAACAATGGGAGTGTGTGAAGTTTATTCTCATTACTTTGTTTTTATCCACTAGAATCCCACTACTCAAAAATAAAAAACAAAATGAAGACTTACCATACAGATTACAGACTTTAATAACTTGCTCATACCCCAAATTGAAAACACAAAGCAAACAGTGACAAATCAGGGACAGCGGCACTAATCTTTTCACAATATTTATAGCCACTAGAAGTCATTTGCAGTCCCACTGAAATGGTAGAAAGCTTCTCCCACACAGTATAAAAATAATAAACCCATAAAGCAGTAAAATATTTATATGCTCTAAATAATGTTCATCTCTCAACAGTTCAACGCTATAAAAATAGTTTAAAAATCTGACAATTATTCAGTAGTGAATTACTCTATATAATTATTTTCCTTTCATGTTTCGTTTGCCAAACATCAGTCAGCAAACAAAATGGAAAACAAAACAAAAACCCAAAACCAAACAAAAATAAAAAAAGGTTTCCTCTTGACAAATCCTGAACGATGTGAGGAAAAACAAAGCATTCTACTTTGAAATGGGGGTTAATTAGAGGTTTGGAACAAAAACTAAATCAATATCATTTTTGTGTAAACATGGGAGATTTTATTTATTTAACCTAAGTTACTCCTCTGTTCAGTCCTCCAGACCTCAAACACAACATCTGTTAGAGAAGAACCAGCACCAACTTGAATTTCAAGAATTAGCTTTGCATTGCAAACAAAGCTTAAGATTTATTTTTTATTTTATTTTTTTTTAAATACGTGCGAGCCGTATCCGTACAGGTGTATATGGAGGCGTCTGTGTCGTTTCAACACATGTTATTAAGCGTCACTAAAGGCAATTACAGATTGTAGTTTTAAAACCCTGAATTGAAAATGACCTCTGAGTGTTACAAAGTCACTGTGAAAGTCTCTGTGAAATCTCTGGGCTCTTTCACGAATGTACCGAACTAAAGCAAACTTACGTGACTCAGATCGACCCAGTTCTGCAGCCAGATTTAGGCACTTGACCTACAAACTGTACCGAGAACCAAGGATGATTTCTATTATGTACAGACAACACCAAAGTAATTGGGAGAGCGCGGCAAGTCCCTTTCATATAATTTGGCAACTGATACACAGCACATGCGTGTATATGAATCTGTATAATCCCTGTGAAAACAGGGTTCATAAAATAAAGTAATAAACTGGCAGTTTGTCTTGCTTTCACACTTGTTTATAGAAAAAAATAAGTAAAAAACTGTTTAACAAACCGCCACTTTCGATTCCATGCCTACTGTTTTATTTCTGCTATTAGGCATCATCAAATGCTTCAAGTGAGGCAATTCTTTCACAGTTCGCAACATGCACACGATCACGGCATTTCAGTGAGGGAAAAGATATCAAACTCTCTCATCACACTAATAAACACAACACAGATGCAAAGAGAACTCAATGGTGCTCAAACTGAGAAAGAACGCAACGTTTACTGTCGTTAGCTTAAGGACACTTAAAGAATCGTATGGTTTCATATAAACTACACACCGCATGCTGACAGACACGGTCGAGCATGGTTATCAGAGTTATAGGTGATAGATACCGAAGCTGATCACTCAGATGTAAGGAAAAAGGCCACAACGTGTTGAAAAAGTGATGTTCCAACACTCTTCACATCAGAGATTCAGGGCTTCATAAACATCTGTAAAACTCATGGCAAACCCTCAATTTAACTGGAGCAGGACGTTCTCCTGCGCTCAGATTTTCCATTCATTTGAAACAAAAGGTTGGCTTTTACAACGTTCAAGATAAAATCCACACTAACACAATGTCACAGTAAAATCTTTAATGAGCTCCAAGGCTTATCACAAGCGGTATCGCCATTGTCGCACGTATTACGGATTATATTGGTAACCATAAGGTAGCCATGATAAGCACCAAGGCACCAAACTTGGCCAGTTGGGCTCTTTATTAGTCCTGGGGAGAGCATGTGAACCCTTAATTTCATTCCTTAAAGAAATAGATCATCCAAGCCTGCAGGGGGAGCCATCATTTAATCACCTCAACCACAGTCCATGAAAAACTCCACAGATGGCAATCAAACAAAACCAAAACCACACCCTCAAACTAGTTGTCAGCATCATCCAAGCCTGCAGGGGGCGCTCTCACAAACATAGACGCTACAAACAATTATAAAATGATTCTCCTCAAATGACATTCACACACAAACAGGATGCTAAAATCAGTTCTGCCTGCTCTCAGTATCAAAATGTAAAATCACACAGCTAAGTTCGTTTGAAATCTACGTTGTGTAGCAGTCCTTCGCCACCTCAGCCTCTTTGTAGTTGCTCACTGAGCTTCATAGTAGCGTTCAGGGTTCACCGAGGGTCTAAAGGTTAACAATTAACAAAGGACACTTCTCAAAAGCTTCTGTCCACACTGTGTGTTTCATAAGAAGCGCAGAAATGGTGCTGAATAGGGTTTAGTTGTGTTCAGGGCCGGATAAATGCTTCATCTTCTGAGCAAGACAGACTTTGTCATGCAGATCCTGGACTCAACAAACCACAAAACTCAACAAGTGAGTGAAGATGCAACCTCTACTCTTCACGTCAACCCTCAGAAAACCTCTCAGTCTGGCTAAAAGTCACAAGCAAATGGATATAATGATTGATTATAAATCTATAGTTAATTTTTAAGATGCAGACCAGAAAAACAGGAGATCAATAAAACCTGAATGTGCCATACAACGAAGTTCTTAGTTTGTCTCTGTGGTTCTTTTTGCAGTTATCAAATCTGTTTCTCGTCTAAAGTTCAGAGTGGAAACAGAGCATCACATTTCGGGCAGCTGCTCTCTCTGTCCTCTTACGAGGCTTTAGATTTTCTTGCTCTTGGCGACGTCTTGTCATCTGGTTTCATGACTCCATTGACTGAACCCCCTGTCAATGAGAAATAAAAGCTTTTAGCAAAGTCAACCATAAATTGTATCAACCATTTTATAGGGATAGTTCACCCAAAAATTATTTACTCACCCTCAAGCCATGCTAGGTATATTTGACTTTCTTCTTTCAGACGAATCCAATCGGAGTTATATAAAAAAAAATGTCCTGGCTCTTCCCAGCTTTATAATGGCAGTGGTCCAGATTGTGAAGCAAAATAAAGCGCACCCATCCATCATAAAAAGTTCCTCACACGGCTCTGGAGGAGTGAATAAAGGCCGTCTGAAGCAGATCGATGCGTTTGTGTAAGAATGATTGACATATTTACAACTTTATAAACGGTAGGGGTGACCCCAAATAGTCGATAGGAGGAGACTGATTCAATACCAATCTCACAGTCGAATATTCGCGGGGTGTAAAATTATTTACTCACCCTCAAGCCATGCTAGGTATATTTGACTTTCTTCTTTCAGACGAATCCAATCGGAGTTATATAAAAAAAAATGTCCTGGCTCTTCCCAGCTTTATAATGGCAGTGGTCCAGATTGTGAAGCAAAATAAAGCGCACCCATCCATCATAAAAAGTTCCTCACACGGCTCTGGAGGAGTGAATAAAGGCCGTCTGAAGCAGATCGATGCGTTTGTGTAAGAATGATTGACATATTTACAACTTTATAAACGGTAGGGGTGACCCCAAATAGTCGATAGGAGGAGACTGATTCAATACCAATCTCACAGTCGAATATTCGCGGGGTGTTATGATCATGCTATTTTGGCTATATGGGGGCGCTCAAATGTCTGACTTCACATAGAACTACCAGTTTTCTCCGTTAATATACAGCCTATTAAAATAATGCTGTAAATAAGAATCTGGAAAGAAAGAAGCTTCAAATATATATTTTAAGTGCATGAATAAATCCAACCACCCCATTACATTTAAGTTTCACTTTCCATAATCCGTGACCGACAGAGGAGCATCTTGGTGGCAGGGATTTAAAGGGGTCATATGATGCGATTTCAAGTTTTCCTCTCTCTTTGGAGTGTTACAAGCTGATTGTGCATAGATAAGATCCCTGAAGTTGCAAAGACTAAAGTCTCAAAACCAAAGAGATATTCTTTATCAAAGTTAAGACTCTGCCACGCCCCAGGGTCACATCACAGTGGAGTCAGCTGTCTTAACCGTGGCTTGTGTACTGCAAACACATACCAGCTTCATCACTGTGTCTGTCACGCGACTCTGTTCCCCTTTCGGGCTCTGTCTTTACATTTATTTTGAAAGATGAAGCTCGTGATTATGGTAAGGGGCGTTACATTTCCGACGAGTGCTTGCGGTGTTCGGCCAATCACAATGCACTGGGTCAGCTGGCCAATCAGAGCAGACTGCGCTTGTCGGAAGGAGGGACTTTGTAGAAAACGAAGCGTTTGAGAGAGGCGGGGCATAGAGGACCTACAATAATGTACAGTATTTGAAAAATAATGTGTTTTTTGAACATTAAAGCATGTCAACATATTCTGTTACGCCAAATACACAAAATAATGATCTTTAAAAAAGCATCATATGACCCCTTTAAAACTTTAACAATATTCAAACTGACACAGACAGAGTGAAAGACTGGATTTTTTTGATCAGGCAGGGTACAAGTGATTTCAAAACATTTCAGCCGTTTATATATATCGTGTATATATTATTTATCGCGTATAAGATGCATTTGGTTGAGTTGCGCTGCAAGCGCTTCATTGTAGTACTACGGTGATTATCTCTTCAGCGCGAGCAGGACAAACAACAATACAGAATATTAATAACTATGACTGGGACTGTCATATACATTATAATGAGAACACCATTATAATAAAATGCGGTGAATTTTTAGAGTTTAGTTGCCATGTTTCTGCACGTTGTTGCATGAAGGACGCATCCACAAAAGGAGTTCATTCAGAGCCGCGCAGACACGTTCATGTGCATTCGGGGCATTTTGTGCAGATAGCCTGTAAGTCGTAATATTAGCATTATATTGTATAAATAATGAAGCTGAGTAAATAATGAACTCATTCTATATGAGATAAATGATGAGTTAAATCCCATTGATTAAAAACCTGCTGCTTCGTTCTACTGGTCATCTTCAGCGCACGCAGCTCAAAACAGAAATGCAGAACATTAATAACTACTGTCATATACATGACGTTTTAATGAGAGCACTATTGTAAAAAATGTTGTGAATTCTTAGGGTTTCGCTAACGTTTAATGTTAACTATCTTTTAATCAAAACAAAACCTTATTTACCCCGTTTGTATCTGCGAGGCATCCGTTACACATTTTCCCTGTGTGATAATGTCAGTAATTATGACTCTCGAATGTCTGACTTGACTCTTGGTAATGTATTTTCCCCCGCCCCCAAAACATATGATTCGACTATCAGTCGAATATTGGCAAGATTCGAAAATTCCAATTCGACTATGAAAATCCTTAGTCGGGGACACCCCTAATAAACAGTAATCTCTAGCTTCCGCTAACTGTACATGTGTACACTAGGGATGAAACGATTACTGGTTTGACGATAAATCATGATAAAATTCCCCACGGATAGTAAGTTATTACCGGTTCATATTTTAATTTGGATTAAAACTATATTCGATTACCACAATTTGAACAACTCAGGATAAATAAATACTGTCCAGCATAAAGCACAGTTTTAAGTAACAGTATCACGTGCGCAGAGTAGTTTAGTTTTGTGTGAAAACATGGCGGAAAGCTGGGAGGTTTCAAAAGAGTGCTAAGGGTCTTCAGAAAAGATTCGATGGCATTTTGTTTTCATCTTCACTCCATGTAATACCTAGTGAAGTAGTGTTCTTATCGCAGTGCTTTGTCCACATTGTTTTTCTTTATTTAAAGGCTGAAATGTGAGGTTTACCATTTTATGAAACTTTTTTAAAGCTTTATTTGAACATTTCGTACATTTAATTAGACTGTTGTTGAATCACTTCAGAAGGCCTTTATTCACCCCCAGGAGCTGTGTGGAGCACTTTGTATTATGGATGGATGCGCTTTATTGGCATTCTATTGGACTATTGTATATCACCCATTCACTGTCATTATAAAGCTTGGAAGAGCCAGGACATTTTTAAATATAACTCCGATTGGATTCATCTGAAAGAAGAAAGTCAAATACACCTAGGTTGGCTTGAGGGTGAGGGTGGGTAATGTTCATTTTTGGGTGAACTATCCCTTTAAGTATGTAAACAATGACAGCGAGTTCAACACCAATGCGCATTTCTGGCAGTATTTTTACAGAACAGTATTTTAGAGAACTAATATGATGTATGCATCAAACATTTATCTGAAATGACTTATCCAGGTGTCTACCATTACCCCATGGTGTATTTTTCATAAGACAGATGATGAAAGCATATTTCATAGTTCAGATGCTTATTTTCTCAAAGTAAAGTTTCGGGAAAATCTAAATCACTCCTACATTTAAATGCTCATTATAATTAATGAGGCTGTTAAAGGTGCATTCGTTAGTAGATTTAAAGGATTAATTCACTTCCAGAATAAAAATCACCTGGTAATTTACTCACCCCCATGTCAGACCAGACATTTGTGGTTAAAAAATAAATAAATGTTTATTTGTTTTAGAAAATGAGCGATGGTTTCTCTAGATAAGACACTTATTCCTCGGCTGGGATTGTGCAGAGCCCTTTGAAGCTGCACTGAAACTGCAATCTGGACCTTCAGCCCGTTGGTGCCCATTGAAGTCCATTATATGGAGAAAAATCCTGAAACATTTTCCTGAAAAACCTACATTTCTTTGCGACTGAAGACAGAAAGATGTGAACATCTTAGATGACGTGAGGGTGAGTAAATTATCAGGAGATTTTTATTCTGGAAGTGAACTAATCCTTTAACCTCCCTGTTCTTCATGCAAGTCCCAATAACAGAACGGTGTTAGATGATACACTGCTATTTATCAACATCTTTTGTCCGACAAACAAACCAGACAGGAGAGTAGATTAACGACAATTGACTTGAACTTGAAAAAACTGATGTCTTTCCACAGTTGAAACAAGATCCCTTCTGATGTTCATTCATGTTTATCGTGTGCTGTAACCAGTAAAGAGGAAGAGATGATCGGTTCACGTGCCGCTTGAACTGAGGCGCTACAGTGATCTGTCACCACACATTAAAGAGCCACAAAACAGTATTTATTGTTTGAATTTCTTTAAAAAAAAAATTACAAAATTTGAAACTACTAAAGCAACCTATTCTGTCTTGTCTGTCGGTATGTTGTCAGTGTCCTCTTTTCTTTGTATTTTTCACTGCGTGAGAACATGATGTGTGGCGTGAGAGCGCCATGGCTTGTCGGACATAGCAACAGTAACTAAGGGGGGCGGGTCTTTGTGAAGGGTCAACTGTAAAGGACACGACACTAGTTTTAAGGCCTGTTCACTCCAAGAACGATAACAATAAAGATAAAGATAAGCTTTTACAGCAGCGGACGATATCGCCTGTTTATTCAAAGCGCACGCTCGTCTGCCGCTTTAAATTCTCAAGCTCGTTATAGCAGGATTGATTCTGATTGGTTGTTAATGTTTTTATCGTTCATCGGCTGAACGATATTGTTTCTCTGTGCCTTTATCGTCATAGCTGCAGTGTGGACTCTGCCATTCTTTAATATGGAGAACAATCTGAGAACAATATCGTTATCTTTATAGTTATCGTCCTTGGTGTGAACAGAGTTTTAGAGAGCACACTACACAATTTACTTACCCTTACAATTTAGATGCAATTTAGGCACCACTACTCAGGATTTGAAATCGGTCCACCTTGTGTATGTAGTGATGTTTACGCTCAGTTTTGTCTTTGTCAGTTTTTTTTCCCTTCTGGCTTCAGTCCCTTTTCTGCCTCCTGAGCCATACAGGTTCTGATTCTCTTGTTGGTAAAGCACGATAGTAAGTGTTTTCCATTCTCTAACTGTATGAGGATTCTCTTCAATGTTTAAATCCGCAGATCAAGTCATTGTACCATAGTGAAATACACTAACGATCTGCACCCTACATAATTAAAACACTTATAGAATATTATTATGAGTAGTTCTTCATCTCGTGTGAGTGTACGCCATTCATACTCTTCCCAAAAACGATTTATTTCTTAATGTGGAAAACGTTTTAAATTAGCACCAAACTACTGAATGCACCTTTAACACCGCAAGCATGGGACTTGTGTAGGTTACTTTAAGAGCCTGTAAAGAACGGTCTTAACTAGACAAACTCTACATATGAAACTAACAATTAGTTCCATTCATCTACCAGAGATAAAATGTGTGCTTCATATCCTACAGTTGTTAATATTGTAGACATTCAGACATCTCTTTTCACTTCTGCATCAAGCGTGCAATGGTTTCATTTTAGAAAATCTTAACATCTTAATTTTCGTTAGTTCCATGCATGCAGAACCTGAACGTCATGGTCTATCTGACGTTTCATCATTCAGTGAGTCACTGTGAACAAAGAGCCAAGTGCTGTTGTTTTGAATGAGTTTGACAACTAACAGGAAATGTTCCATGAACATTGTTCACTGCCACTGATGAAGATGGTATTTTTATTGCAACACTTCTGAAGTGTATTGTCTAATTGTGAACAAAAGAACGATAAATAGGGGTCTTATTATAATCTACATGTAAAATGACTTTTAGGAAAGTCTCACCTCGTGAGTCCTTCTTGCTGGGTCTGCTTTTTGGGCTGACAGCTTTCTTCTTGCTGGCCTGGATTTGAGATTGTTCTCTCCACTTCTTCAGCTGGAAATTGATGAATTTCCACATCATCCAGGCCTGGGTCAGGCAGATGGCTGACAGGCATGTCATCCTAAAAGAGTCATCGTTCACAAATTTAGCCTCAGAATATCTCAAATTTGATTCCTACCCTCACTGTTAGATCCTATCTTGGATGGGAGAGCTCTCAGTCACATCAGCTAACCCTTGGATCCCTCAGGGTTCTGTGTTTGGCCCTCTCTTATTCTCGATATACACAACTACATAGAGACTAGTCATTCAGCCTCATGGCTTTTCCAGCCTGCTATGCTAATGACTTGAAGCTCTGCCTGTTGTTTAAGCCCAAAATACAAATAAAATTCTTGTGGAAATCTGAGACATAGATAAAAGAAAACCACATACAATCTCGTCATAATCCCGCCATGAAGGTCAGCACTAGGGATGGGTATCGTTAAGGTTTTAACAGCATTCCTACTCTGATCAATATCAATCTATCTGATCCGACCCAATCAGTACTTCACTTCCTACGTGTATGCTAGGTTATGCCCACAGTGCACATGACGTGAATTTCGTCATCAGAAAAGTACACGGTACTGTACATGCACCTCACAATATTTTTCACCGTGCATTCAATGCACACGCACATTGACTTGTTTTTGCTTAGTTTGTCCACAAGGTGTCGACACTAAACCAGGCCGTTGTTTCACGGTCGGAAAAGAAATGGAGGAGATGGAACAAGAACAACAAACTACTGAAGGTGGAAAAAACAACAAGCGCCTGCATTGCCGAGTGCATGTGTGAGGGAATTAAAAGAGGTCCGCAACTCTATTTTATACGAGTCAAATGGAGAATACCTAGAAAACTGTGTGTTCAACTGCGCACGTTAACATACGTGTAAAAAAAAAGAAGAAGAAGTATACTTTGGGCTTAACAGTATTCTTACCGGTTCTTTTGTTATTGTTTTATGAATGTCAAAAAAATATTGTCAACAAAAAATCTGCTCTGTAGCATGTGAGACTATATGCGAGAGAGATCTCTCTTCTGGATAACGAATAGCGACAATGCATCATAGGTGAATGTCTTATGTTGTCGCATATATAGTCACCCATGGTGAGATACAATTTGCAAGATAACATTTATGTAGCAATAATTAATAGTAAGTGTATTTTCTCAATTTCTCCAGTACCGAGAGCATAACGATAACGTCTTTCATAATTTTGCCCCGGGGCCCGTTTACGGTATCCATCCCTAGCCAACACAACATCAAAATTCAGACCTGTCCACAGTAACATATCAAAGTCGACCCGAAACCTTGGGGCTATAGATGGTGACCAGCTTATTTTCACAGAACACGAATCACTGACCACCAATGTTCCCTCTAAGCTGCGTGCGCGCACCTCTTACGTCACAAGTGTGCAGAAGAAATAATATGCCGCACACAGGACAGACGCAAAAATGAGTTGGGGAAAGGTTCAATTCTAGTAAATGTGAAATAACTGCAATGTTCGGGCAAACCGCTATAGAGTTGTTATCGCTCTTAGAACTGGTGAATGTGGTTTACAGGTTTCATAGAAAGAGAATGTGCGCGCCAAATGAGTCGCTGTAGAAATCAAATACTTTAATGGTTGAGGACGAAACAGCTCAAATATAATGACATGTGAAATAAAACCTCATCATGTTTGAAAGAAGAGTGGCTTGATTAAGTGGTGGAAATATAGTGGATGATGAGCACAGAACGGTAACAAGCATTTACAGCCAAACACAGGTGTAGTAGTGTGCAAACTCCACTAAATGAGGATGTTTTAGATTACTGTAAAATAATTCACATTCACGTTTTTTTGAAAATATTTGTTTTATTATATTATATTATAAGCTTATAAATAATTGACCTCAAAAACGGAATTCATGAGCAATAACGGCTTCATTTTTTCATATTATAAAGAATTGAACTGTTCTGTGTGAGTTTTTTTTTTATAGTATTTTTTGGTAACAGCACTATAAAAAATGTTTTCTCAGGTAACCTAAAATGTGCATCATTTAGTTACATCAAGGGTCAAATCAAATATAAATAGCACATTAAAGTTAAAAGTTACACACTTTTTTGTGTGTGCACTGTACAGCTCTGGTATCCTTTGGTATTCTTTATATATAAAAATGATTTTGCTCAGGTGGCCGAAATTTCCAGCCAATAGAGAACAATTTTGCTCAGCAAGAAAAACAAATTCCCCCAGATTCCCACTACATAACATAAGGAAGACCAGACGCTTCATGACTGCTCATGCTGCTTGAACTTTACTGGCCAGCTCTGGACTACTGTCCTCTTCTGTCATTATAGTCTATTTTGAATGAATCGCTTGTATTGCATCTGCCTGCTAAACAAATAAAAGTAAATATCACAGAGCAGCCAAGCATGTGGAAAATCCAGCTGATTTACCTGACAGTCAGCACATTAAAGTTTCCTTCTGCTAAAGAGAATCCCTGATTATCAGTGCGGGACAGGCCGAAACCAAACGTCAGGACAGAAACGGTGAGCGTCAGGAGGCGTGTGATGACAAACAGCAGAGCCCAGAGTGTGAACCTACGAGACAAACACAAGCCAGGCCGCTTAACAACAGCTTGAACAATCCAAAAACCATCTCAAAAAATTATATGACTATATGACAAGAAATACGTGCAATATGATGTGAGGGCTTAAGACGGGACGTGAACGCACCCTTTCTGCTTGTTTTCATCACTGAAGTAGAAGAGTCGCGAGGCGTGGAAGAGCAGCTCTACCAGATAATGTGGCACCAGAAGAACCAGACCCAGGCGGTGGAGACTGAGAGAAGACACATGAGACAGATTCACTCCTCAACAGTGTTGAGAGTAACGCATTACAAAAGTAAAAATAGTACAGTAGTATATTATTTTTTTGCTGTAACGCAGTAATATAACGCATTACTAATACAATTTGGGTAATATTATTACTTGTTACAATCTCAGTAACGCAAGTTACAACAACATTTTAAATTTAAATTAATTGGTGAATTTACCAACACCGCAAAACAGTATAGGAGAAAAATTCCGCGGGTAAAATAGTTAGTCTGTTTCCTGTTGCTGGAATTAAATGGTTGAGATGACTGCAGAGACGGATTCTACATTTGTGAGATGGACACACTGTTAATTTTCAGTTCATCTGAGAAAAGGATAAGATTGCATAGTCAGGTGCAACATATGCGACACCAAACTCTCAACATGGAGAAATAGCATGAGTAAAACCTGGAAACACCTGGACTGTTGCCACCAACACTAATCGGTCGGAGAAGAGAAAAAATACGGTGGACGAGCGCAGCGCAGGCAAGCTAAATTAAGTTTAACTAAAAATAACAAACGTTTTTATTAAATCATAGTATTATAATGAATATGCGAAATATTTGACTTAAATAGCCTAATTAACAGATTAACAAAACGAAAGGAAAAGACTGAGAGATATGCCGAGTTTGGTAGGCTATTTTTGTGGCGCTCTACGAAAGTCCACGGAAAGGAAACCGAGATGACAGAAATAAAAGTAAACGCATTGCAGTTTCGAATGATCTGTATGACCAAAAATTACTTTTTTTGTTGTTTGTTTCCGCTGTTCGATCGCGCCGGCGCCTCACACACACACATCTACAGCATTGCAAACGTTGCAGCTTGTTCATTTTCAGAATAAAGTAGTCAACCAAACATATAGATACACTGGTTAATAGTGCGTACTGCGTAGTACAATCCATGCCGTTCAGCCTGAGCTCGGGCCAAACACACATTTGCTCATGTGACGAGAATGTTTTTTAAGCACGTTAAGTAAGCCTGGTTTACATCATAAATAATAATTTAGCATTCAAATACATCGCAAATATGGACACATTTAATTGGATTAATGCCGAATCAGAGAGATGGGCTGTGCGAGAACGGCGTTTGCTTTCAGTTTCACATTGTATTAGCCTAATTCATTTTGGCCTGTTTAGCAATTAATTTTCATTCTTGTTTTCTTCTGAAACCGTTCAAAATAGCCTATAGGCTAGGTAATGCGTTTATTATTTGTACATTATAACATTTCGCTTTATTTACTGGTGTTATTATGTATGTAATAATACAGTTTGTGCTTATCTGTGTTTAACCTAAACTATAACGTAACATTAATGTAGACCTACATACCGGTACCTAAATATGATTTTATAATTTGATGCTTTATAGACCTACCACATTACCCTCCACTGGATGTAGAATGAGCAGCAATAAACAACATTTTGGCATTTTATAATACTTCTGTGGATATTTTGGTGCAAGTAACTCAAAAGTAGTGTAACGCATTACAATTCAGAGACCGTAATATTGTAATGTAACGAATTACTTTCAAAAGACAGAAAATAAATAAGAACTACTTAGCTTAAATGACTAGAAAGAGTCTAAGCATTTGAAATAAATGCTGAATAAATGTTAGTTTTCACCATTTCATTTGAAAAGGACCTTTCTTGAACTAGCAGCTTTGGGTCTATCACTGGTCTCATCATAAAAAAAGCAAATTCACCCTGAAATAAGAAAACACTCACTTGAGGACATAGGCACCAGTGATGTGAAATATATAAAGGCAAATGTAGTACAGTTGGCGTGGAATATCCTCCTAAACACAGAAATAAACACAATGTCAATGTAATAATCTACAACAAGTACCACATTGTATTTAGAAACTATTTGTCAGGTTCAGCTATCAGTGCATATTGCACAAACTAAGCCTTACCTTTCGTACTTTCTGAAAATACAGCTCAGGAAGAGCATGGAACCAGTAGGCAATCTGACAGATATAGAAAAACTTCACTTGGAAACTACAAGACAGAAAGAAGGTTGTATGTCAGCCTCATAATGTGTCAAATGCTAACAAATATTAATACAGACAGGTTACAATTTCAGCAGCTTGAGTTGGAATTTGCAGAGTTGTTCAGTTTTTTTTTTTTTAAATAGTTTAATTACAGGCATTTAAGATCCTGCAATAATCAAGAATGGACTGTGCAATATATTAAAAGTTTACTTAAGGTCTCTTGGCAAATCATGCATTAAAACATTTATTAAAGAACAAGGACAATCCTGTCACACATTTGCATATCTACTAATAAAGCAGGTGTGAAATGCATTTCTATATATCGTAAGGGAATTACATAGTGCTGAACAATTTAAAAGAAAAGGATCTTCACCGTAACAATTTGACATGGCGTTATCTAAGCCTTTGACTTAACAGAGATGAAGCACTAATGTCACGAGATCGCTCAGACAAGCAAGGGTTAGTGATCTGATTCAGCACATATTAACCAAAACCACTGAATTTACTGTAGGCACACAACTGATGATTCCTCAAATCACACGCTTTTACTTTGCTTAGCGATTAAGACACAATTTCTTCTTTTATAAAGGGTTGTGAGAACTTCACACTCACGCCATGTGGATATGAGGATAACCTTCCCAAAGAAAAGTTGGATTTGTCACAAACTCCTCCTGTTGATTAGAGAAACAGTCATTTAATCAGTGCACAGATGAGGGTAGAAGAGATGTGAGACATGATGTACAGATCTCTTACATTGGTGAGGATGCTGCAGCCCCAAATGAAGGAGAACGAGTAGAAGGTGGCCAGCTGGCCCGACTCATTGAACTTGCTGTGCTTTGTTTTGGACAAATGAAGTCGGCGATTGATTTTCTGTGGAAACAGAATCAGGTCACTGCCTTGCGAGATCGTGCATGAAGGGCAATTTGAAGAAACCATTCAAATTAGTTTCAAGTCTCTTCACTGATAAAACTGTCTGACACAGGCTTTCAGGCCTGATTTGACAAGTAATAGATGACAAAAAATAAATCACAATAATTTAGCACAAAATATACAAGATTTTAAATGGGTTTTTTTTTTACGTTCATCAAGGCTGCATTTATTTGATCAGAAATACAGAAAAAGCAATAACATTATGAAACATTTTAATATACTTCATATTATTCATCATTACTTCAGTCTTCAGTGTCACATGATCCTTCAGAAATAATTCTAATATGCTGATTTATTATCAACAGTTGTGCGGCTTAATATTTTTTTCAAGAACCTGTTGAACTTTTTTCAGGATTCTTTGATGAATTAAGTTTAAAAGAACAGCATTTATTTTAAATATAAATCTTTTGTAACAATATACACCACCATTCAAAATTGTCGTTTCAGTAATTTTTTTCTCTTTTTTTGAAAGAAATTAATACTTTTATTCAGCAAGGATGTATTGTAATCGATGAAAAGTGATAGTAAACGATGTAAGAGTGTCCCAAAGAGCATTTCAACAGAAGGACCTGTGAGCTTCTGTAGAAAGGAGTTCATATGCTCAGTGTCACAAATGAACATTAGATTAGTGATCAAGAAAAGGATTTTAAACACGTCTTTATTTCAAAAGCTAAGAATCCATGGCATTACTTACGTCGAGTACGTACTCTTGAATCAGGGCATGAAGGATTATGGCAATGAGCAGGTAAAAGAAGACCGTTGCCATGTCCTTGGGACCGTATTTGTAGTAGCTGAAAGGCTCAGGCTTGTCCTCTGCATCTGAATAAACCCAGGGAGCCAAAATGATTTCAACTCCACATTATGCACTCGTTAGGGGTCCGAGCAGAGCGGCTCATTTAGGAACGCTTTCCGCTAATTGCCTCAACTGGAGAATTTGCGAGATCTGTGATGTCCCGACATTTCACAGTGACATTTCCACAACTGATGAAGCCACCTGGGATCAGTGGTGAAATGTCATGAGTGCCGGAAACACTCATTCAGTTGAGTAGAATAACTATACGCATCTGTAAATACTCCTCACAAAAGTCACTTAATTCATTACATTTCTCCACAAATACAAGCCACTTCAATGATCAGTTGTAACCCAATTGCCTGAAATATATCGAAAACTTTCCAAAAGAAAATTGGTAGATTGTGGCTTAATGGAGTGCTGTGACCAATGTAGTAAGTTATCGATAAAATGTATACAATAATATGTGAATTATATTAGTCAAAAAAAAAAAATGATATTGTATAAACAACAGGCAACAGGCTCATATCGGCAAAAAGATATATCAGTCAGGGTCTAGATAAAATATATACAATAACATGCAAATTGTATAAGGCAAAAAAAATTTATATTGTATAAACACCAGGCGACGGGCTCATATCGGCCGATAATATCGGCAAAACGATATATCGGTCGGGCTCTAGATAAAATATATACAATAATATGCTAATTATATAAGGCAAAAAAAACAAATTCCTATTTTATCAGTCAGTAATTTTAAATGTGAATGGCCACACAACATGAACTTTTAACTGGCCTGCTGTGCATTAGATGAGCGATAATGAGTGAATTTACACTTTCACTTATAGCACTAGAATCTAAATCACCGTTTTAACAGAAGATTGCCATTTATTTTTACAGGAAAATTGTTCAGCCACATCAATTTTATGGAGAGGAGTCTATCATTTAAAATTGGCAATAGCGGTCACACTGATGTCAGCTCCGACCCCAATGACTGCACAGTTTTATTTTATTTATGTGTAAGCATCTTTGAAAGATCTAGATCGTACCCGTATCCAGGGTTTGTGTGACATTATACTGGACTGTGATGAACATGATCGCATATTTTGCCGTCACCTGCAATAAAAACATAATCATATTAATACAAACAAGTATACTCAAACATATTGCAAAGGATGAGAGTCAGAAGACATCACTGTAATGAGGAAGTACAGTCAGATCATGTGATCAAGCCGTTTTATGCTTTCATTATTTCATTCAGCATGTTTAGTGCCGTTTCACTAAAACATTAAAATAACACTTGTCTTGTTGCAGGCAATTAAATGAAGGGATTTAATTAAGAGTATATTACGATTTGTCTTCACTGGAACTGCCATTTTTTCTTATGATCCATGAACACCATGGTTTTAGGATCAGAAACAGACTGCACTGATGCAAAATATCATGTGAGGATCATTTTATTATATGAGTGTAAGAGTCAAAACATAACCTAAAATGTGATGAATACGTTACTATACGAGTATCATTTGCAATAACCTCAAATTTGATCCATGTGATATGACATAAAAATGTTTAATAATAAATAAGTATAAACCTGATGACCTGGTTGATTTTAATAGCAAATAATAACATGACGCTCATCACATACACACAAACACAACATCAAGCATAATTATGTTATCATAGGAATTTAATAGTAAAAACCTCAAAAATGAAGGTCATGTTATATCATATAGATCTAATACTAAGCAAACATGATCTCCATGTCATGTTATGAGTTCAATAGTAAACAGTGAGCTCAAGCGTGATGATGATGATGGTATGATATAAGAAATGATCACCTCAAACATGAGCCCCAGCAGGACGATCATGGCCACACACGACACCATATCCGCGTGATTCTGGATCACAAACTCGTGGCTCAGCACGGGAGGACTCTTGCTCTTCTTTCGGAAGCCCATCGCTCTTCTCTCGCGGGGGACAAACACCTGATCAGTGCAGAGACTCGCAGCTAACGCAGATCTCCGGGAAATTCACACTAGTCAGTCATCGAAGCCCTGCTGCTCTCACACCCGCTAACGACGAGACCCGGAAGCGGTGAAGCGCCCCATGAACAGCGCAGCTGGCGCAGTAAGAGCATACAACAAATATATTTTTCTCTTTAGAAAACAGCAGTTGAATACAATTCTAATACGGGTTTCCTTTTATTTTGGAAAAATTCATTGTTCCGTGGAATTTTGTTAGACGTATATGACACGAGAGAGAGAAAAAACGCGTTTAGTGGGCTCCCCACATCACAGCGTTACATTAATAAATATTAATAAAGTGTCTCCAAACACCTAAATTATAAATTTTGCCATTGTATGTTGATGTACGTTGTTGAACTGTACCGTAGGGCTTTTATTTTGGCTTTAGGCTCGACTAAACCGGAAGTTTCTAGATTCACGCGTGGCCTTTACGTAAACATTTTGGGCTTATGACTGAGCGCGGTCGTTTAGGTATGATCAGTTTAACGTTTTGCACCTATTTTATGACTTCTTATTTTTACACCCGTTTTGCTGTTGGTGGTTGTTTGTTTATATTATTCTCTGGAAACAGATTTTCTAACTTACTCATACAGTGCCTTACTTTAATATCTTTTTAATATAACGCAAGTCTTTTATATTGTATTTAATTAATTTATTACTTTCTAACCCACAACTTTCTAGAGCTGACAAAATGATCTTATATGACATAGACAAATGATAATTGTTATTACCAGTCATTGCAATGGGATTCCAGTCACATTTACTTTAGTAATATGTGAACATAGACCTCAAAATCAGTCCTAAATTTAAAATTTTTCGAAAATCATCCGAAAGCTGAATAAATAAGCTTTCCTTTGATGTATGGTTTGTTAGGATAGGATAATATGTGGCCGAGATACAGCTATTTGAAAATCTGGAATCTGAGGGTGCAAAAAAATCAAAATAATGAGAAAATCATCTTTAAAGTTGTCCAAATGAAGTTCTTAGCTATGCATATTACTAATCAAAAATTGATTATCAATGATTTTTGGCTTAAACGAAAAATTTATAATTTTGACCCATACAATGTATTGTTGGCTATTGCTACTATTATACCTGTGCTACTTATGACTGGTTTTGTGCTCCAGGGTCACATATAATACATGTTTGTGACTCCTGTTTTAAACAGATATGGCGGGAACAGATATGGACCCTGAGGTGGCTCGGAGCTTGTTTGAAGAAGGAGCCACGCTTGTTTTACTTGGTGTTCCCGAGGGAACAGAGCTGGGACTCGACTACAAAACCTGGACCCTGGGCCCTCGGTTCCGTGGGGTGAAGATGATTCCTCCAGGACTTCACTTCCTCCACTACTGCTCCACCAACTCCAATGAAGCATGTGGTGAAATTTGCCCCAAAACAGGCCTGTTTCTGTCCCTGAAACCCCGGGAGGTGCTTGTAGCCCACTGGAACCAGAGAGAAGATGATTTGGAGTTCACACGGGACCCGGAGGAGGCTGAGCGCATGCGGGCCAACCTCAGAGAACTGGATGGCTATCTGGGCCCCTATCCCTACGACACTCTCCGCAAGTGGGTTTCCCTGACCGACAGACTCAGTCAGGAGGTTGCCATCGCTCTGCAGCCCCTCAGCGGGAGGGTGTGCGCCTTCAGCGACGTCATCCCGGAGCTGAAGCTGACCCACACTAAAGACCGCGAGGAGCAGAACCTGCCCCGCAACGATCGGGAGTGTCGGAGCATGAAGGAGGGGCTGGACAGACTGCCACGGATGAAACTAAGGGAAGGCACGGAGCTGCGGTTTTCCAACATTCCCGAACAGGCGTATCCTCCTGGATCTACACCTGCTCAGATCACCCAGTATAGTATGGATTGGAGTTACGCTCTAAACTGCGTGCTTGAGAGCCATTATAAAGAGCAGCCGCTCAATATACTGGGTGAGCATTGGTTGCTGTTCAGTTTACTAACCAAACATCCTGTTAAACCTGAAAGGATGCTCATTTTGTTATAAAAAGCCCATAAATGTAGTTGTATTTACATCTAGTTGGGTAGCTTGAGGTCTTGTAATATTATGCATCGCCATTGGTTTTAATTTAGACAAGGGAACGTTTAGAAATCTAGTTATAATTTGTGCACCGAAATAATAGAACGTCACTGTTTGTCTCCATGTTTGCAGGAGAGCTGCAGTTTGCGTTTGTCTGTTTCCTCATTGGTAATGTGTACGAGGCCTTCGAGCACTGGAAAAGCCTGCTGGCTCTGCTGTGCCGCTCCGAGGAGGCCATGAAGGAGAGGAAGGATCTGTATCTGGGCCTCATCGCTGTCCTCTACCATCAGCTGGGAGAAATCCCTCCGGACTTCTTTGTGGACATCGTGTCCCAGAACAACTTCCTCACCTCCACACTTCAGGTGCAGTTCACACGGTTTTCCCCTCTCAAATCCCAGTTTCAGCTAAAACGGAAGTGGAACATGACCAAAGTTCAAAAGTGACCCTTTTTACTTTAGTAATTAAAGGCACAATATGTCATTTTCGCCGCTAGAGGACGCAAATTCTAAATAAACAAAGAGACAAATGCCTAGTGTGACTGAGTGTGGAATCATGGGAGTTGTGGTCTTCATCCCCACAGCCGATGCAATCCGACGGGACTCGGGCAGAAATCATGTTCATGGATGAGCTAATGATTTATTAACGTAGTAGAATGAAGCAGGGTGAGGCTGAAAGCCGTCGAAGTGAAACAAGGCCGCTGAACGAGCGCAACACAGCGCTGGAAAGCAGCGGGGCTTTTATTATGCCACAGTCGACCGCTTCCGCTGCTTCCGGTCGTGCGTATGTGGGGTAAAGCAGCACTGTTTTATCATACTAGATACATTTGAAAGTTCTGTTATAATGCTACTCTGTGCAGTCGTCACCGGTCTATTAAAACGCACAACATATTAAAGCGTCTTTGGTGTTTCAAAAAAATCAAGGGTGTATGACGTCATTGGCGACACAATGACACTATAGACACGGTCCGTGTCATTAGTTAAAATTGCTTATTTCTCTGGATTTAAACATTCTTCGTAACATTTGGGATAATGTAAATACACAAGTCAGGATATTTTAATAAAAAAATCGTACATATTGTGCCTTTAAAGCAATAAGCCCCAAGAATCTGTGGTTTACAGTGAATTTATAACAGCTAAGGGGGTTAACAACTAGGCTTGCCACGATAGACGGTGATACAACACCGGTTACGTCACTTACCCACCCCGTCACCGACCCCCACCGTCGTTTAGATTTTTTTATAGTAATAAAAATAATTTAGTTCAGGAAAAGAACAGACACTACAATTAAAAACTGAACGCGGCTGCTCAATGCACAGTCGTCACCGGTCTATTAAAACGCACAACATATTAAAGCGTCTTTGGTGTTTCAAAAAAATCAAGGGTGTATGACGTCATTGGCAGGCGACACAATGACACTATAGACACGGTCCGTGTCATTAGTTAAAATGGCTTATTTCTCTGGATTTAAACATTCTTCGTAACATTTGGGATAATGTAAATACACAAGTCAGGATATTTTAATAAAAAAATCATACATATTGTGCCTTTAAAGCAATAAGCCCCAAGAATCTGTGGTTTACAGTGAATTTATAACAGCTAAGGGGGTTAACAACTAGGCTTGCCACGATAGACGGTGATACAACACCGGTTACGTCACTTACCCACCCCGTCACCGACCCCCACCGTCGTTTAGATTTTTTTATAGTAATAAAAATAATTTAGTTCAGGAAAAGAACAGACACTACAATTAAAAACTGAACGCGGCTGCTCAATGCAGTGTGCCGAATGACAGTCGCATCACAGATCAGATTTAATTTCTCCAGTGAGGAGAGCTGACTGACAAGAAGAGTGAGGTGAGACAGACAAGACGATTACGGATTATTTAGTTTCGAAGGTTTATCTAAGGTGATTTTGGAAGATTTTTTAAAGCATAGATTTCTTATTTAATTGGTTCCACATTGTTTGCTGATTTTTACTTTATTTAAACTTTGTGTAATTTATTTTATTTGACATTTGTTTTGCTAATAAACGTTCTACGTTTCTTATTTATTTGGTTATATATTATACATGTTTACTTATTTCCAGTTTTGTATACCTATTAAACTTTATGTAAGTTATTTGTTATTTTATATTAGGCATAGCCTGCCCCATAGTCTCACTCATAGGTTTACTTCCGCGTTGAAGAAAAAGGTGGATAAACACATTTTTATGGAGCACGATTCATCAGG